AGTAATCTTTTCCTGTTAAATAAATCAATCAAATCAAATCAAATGGCTGAGAACTGCTAACAAACACTAACAGAGACCTATGTGGTATTTCTTGCATAGAAACACTGTTTTAACATCCTCTCATTAACACTGAAAAGTACTACATGGACTGACAAAATGTGAAATGATTAATACAGAAATACTGTTAAAAGTCAAAGTAAGAGTTTTACTCACTAACCGTGTTTCCYTCGATGTTTTTAATGAGTATTTTGAAGTAAAACGTTAGAAAATCTGGATTGAAACAGCAACATTCACAAAAACTTCCTCTGTTTTGCAAAAAAAAAGTTTATACACTTTGACCACACTTGAGGTTGTTTTTGGATATTCAAAAAACAAGGTAATGTGTAAAACGGGAGATGGAAACACATTTTCTGAATAAGTTCTGACGTAACGAATATTTACTTCACATGGTRGATCAGCTGTTCCCGCTGCTGCAGCTGGACCCTCCCCCGCTGTCGGCATCMCCTCAGTTATTCCTGTAAKGTGAAGAGAATTACATTTCATTCTTTACGTCTCCAGACAGCAGTAACATCACCAGAACTAGCTGATGTGACAGAATAATTACAACTTTCCTGAGAGTAGCAACATGACTTCTCTCCATTGTCCTGAGATGTGTAGTCCCTGCGAGTTTACGARTTTACTTCCTGTTTACTACACAAATGTTATTTCAATTACAGTTTGTGTAGCCTGGTTGATTTGCTCCAAGCCAMTTGATGGAAACATGGCTACTATTCAGTTGTTGTGAATACCTGCCATCTTGGGAAATTCCCACTTTCCAGTACAACTGGGCTGCAGCAAAAGTAGCTGGTGAGAATGCACRAAATTGTGTATTTTATCTGATGAATTAACATCTACTGTTGAAKCCTGTGCAGCTCCACCTGGTGGTGGGATGCCGTCATGTTGCAGTTAAATACTCAACATGCATTATGGGAGATGTAGTTTATGGTCACTGCTGGCTTTAAAGCAGCATATTTTAAGGCAGTAATAAATGTTTGAAGCTATTGTGGGCCACACATAATGAAGTGGTGGGCCACATCTGGCCCACGACCTTGAGTTTGACACGAGAAGTAAACAATTTAGAATTTATTATACCAAACTTTAGAAGCAATGCTCAGAGAAAATAATCATATCATGCTTTTAAAGACATGCTCAGCTGCTAAATAAGATTTATTTTAATCTGTTTTGTTTTAGTCTTTTTTGTGAAACCAGATAATTCTCTCTGAGATCTCAGACCTTCTTTTAAAAATCTGCCAGGGACTGAACGCAGCTTCAAATGATCGTTTTTAGAAAATAGGAGGAAACCAGAGAGAACTCATGCAAACATGAGGAGAACATGTGAACTCCATAAAGAAAGGCCTTAAATCACCTGAATGTTTAGGTTTATCCTGAAAAGAAATGCTTTAGTTCACAATTCCTCAGTGTCAGAGTGTTACAGTGTGACTCATGGCTTGGTGCTCAAACTACAACTATACTACAACTGTACTGCAACTATACTACAACTATACTACAACTGTACTGCAACTATACTACAACTGTACTGCAACTATACTACAACTATATTACAACTGTACTGCAACTATACTACAACTATCCTAAAACTATACTACAACTATACTACAACTATCCTAAAACTATACTACAACTATACTACAACTATGCTGCATCTATACTACAACTATACTACAACTGTACTGCAACTATACTACAACTATCCTACAACTGTACTGCAACTATACTACAACTATCCTAAAACTATACTACAACTATACTACAACTATCCTAAAACTATACTACAACTATACTAAAACTATGCTGCATCTATACTACAACTATACTACAGCTATACTACAACAATACTGCAACTATAATACAACTATACTACAACTGTACTGCAACTATACTACAACTATCCTACAACTGTACTGCAACTATACTACAACTATCCTAAAACTATACTACAACTATACTACAACTATCCTACAACTGTACTGCAACTATACTACAACTATCCTACAACTGTACTGCAACTATACTACAACTATCCTAC